CCGCCGCCCCCCCCCTCACCAGTGCACAAATTTTTGTGCACCAGGCCTCTAGTCCTATATAATAAAAATGCAATATGCAAATTGTCCCCTCGACCAGGAGTTTGACTACACACTATGGACATGCACTGACCACTAGGGGGTGACAGGGTACATGGCAAGGCATCAGCGATGCTCTGATCAATCGCCCCATGGCAGCGGCAGGGAGGAGGGTCGCCACCTAGCTCCCAGGTGCTAAGGGAGCTGGGCGGGGGTGGGAGGGAGCTGGGCCCCAGGCTGGGATGGGGAACTGGGGGTGGGTTGCAGCAACCAACCACCCACAGCACCCGGGCAGGGGGGCTGCAACCTCTCACCGGCTACCTGGGGGCAGGGGTGACGGGACCGAGATGCAGTGAGAATGCGGGATGTCTGCTGAGCTCGCTCTCAACTCCCCTTGCTACTCTCCCCAGGGACGCTAGGGCTTGCACACCGAGGAAGCCCCCACACGGAGCTCGCCCCGCACCCATGCGGCCTCTTCCGAGTGAGCCGGGCTGCAGCTGCTGGGACCACAGGAGCCAGTCAGGCTCCTTGTGGTTCGCACAGGAGCCAGTCTGCGAGGCTGGCCAGGAGAGAGCACACTGCCTGCCTGGCTTCCGTGCAGCACCTCTGGGCAGCCCAGAGGCCCACACTGCACCCTGGCCTGCGGCACTGACTGCACTCACTGCATCTCCACGTGGGGACTCAGTAGCTGTGACTCAGGTGGAGGGGGGCATGCGGGGACCTAAGGCTGCCCAGGGCCCAGAGGTCAGCTGTGACCTGCCATTCCACACCAGACACTCATGCTTTCATCGCTTGCCAGGCCTAAGGATCGCACTCATGCACGAATTTTGTGCACCGGGCATCTAGTTTGGCCTAAAATTAGACTGAAGTTCTCACATAGCTGAATCTAAATAGGTGAGTAATAACTTTCCACCACTGACAGGAAAAATAAAAAGAAGTCAAAAAGTAATTTTCTAAAAGCAACACTACTAAGATATTATATAGTATACATGCATGCCCCAAATATATATAATTAGAAGCCCTCAATCTAAAAAAAAATTGTGCTCAAAATATATGTTAAGGTAAATCAAGGTGCAGGTGTTTTTGTTTTTTTTTTAAATCCTTACCCAAGAAGTGAAGATATTTTTCTCATGGATATTTAGAGAGTGGAAGGGAAGGAGGGAGGGGGGGAGAGAGAAACACTGATGTGAGAGACACACATCTACTAGTTTCCTCCCTCACGCAACCCAATCGGGACTGGGGATGTAACCTGTAACCCAGGTTTATGCCCTTGACTGGAAATAGAACCTGCAACCTCCAGTGCACAGGCCGATGCTCTAACCATTGAGCAACACCAGCCAGAGCATTGTGCAGATCTTAACTTACATTTAAAGAAATCTATTTGAATAGCTTTCAAAAAACAATACCTACACAGCTAATGACATTTTTCATATCTCAAAAGATGAATTTTGGGGAAGAGGAGAGGGAAGAAGAAAAAAATCACCTGCAGCACTAACTACAGCATAGCTTAAGATAAAGTATCCATAGAGATGGAATGTACCCCATTGCTTCTGAAGCTACTGTGGTGAAGGACCAATCTTTTAAAATTTCTAATCCAGCATAAAGAATCCATCACAATTTTACAAAATCCCGTCAAAATAGTTCAACAAGGAGATTGTTAGACTGGGGAAGCTCTAATGCAGTGGTTCTCAACCTTGGCTGCACATTAGAATCACCTGGGAATCTTTTTATAATCCTGATTTCTGGGCCTCATCCTCCAGAAATTGTTTCTTTGTTAGTAATGTTGTGGCCCCACCCCATAACAAAGAAACAGAATTTCCGGAGGATGAGGCCCAGAAATCAGGATTTTAAAAAGATTCCCAGGTGATTCTAATGTGCAGCCAAGGTTGAGAACCACTGCTCTAATGCTTTCTGTAGCATAGCTTAACAAATAAAACCTAAGCCAGAGTCAATGTACTTGAATCTAAGAAAACAAAACTCAAAAACAACTAATCATAAACATTCAACTAGATTTTCTTGAGCCCGAGAAAATCAAACTCAAGAACAATTATTATAACAGCCAAATCACTAAATTTCCCCAAATAAGGCAAATATTCAAGCTACAGCCAATTACTTGCTTTGCTTTTTTCCCCATTATCTTTGCTATTAAAACCTTTGCCCCAGGTCCCATCTGTGGAGTACCCTGAATCATTTTCAGTTTTAGTGCTGCCCATTCAAATCATTTGCTCAAATAAACTTTTCAAGTTTATCTTTTTACAATACCATTAAAAAACAATAGAAAATGAAATAAAACAAATATACAAAATACAAGTCCAAATGTTTTAAATTATTATATTGGATTTAACAGACATAAAGTTACTATTAAATTACTATATAGGTTTTTAAATACCTTCCATAGTGACCTCCTGGGTAATCAGTAGTAGGCACTTTGGGTATTGCAGGGCTAGATGTCAGCCCATGACACCTAGCTCTAGCTCCTTAATCTGAAGCTCCAAAGGGCTTCAAAGGAAGCCCCAGTGTTCAGCAGAGTATTGCAAACACAGTGCTTGAAACACAGTGCTACACACACACAGCTGGCTACTAATGCACATTAGATGGGTGAGATAAAGCATCTGCAAATCAATTCTACCAAGATTTCTTTTCCAACAACTTTTCAATATGAATTAAAAAAAAATAGCATGTGGAAATTATGTACGTAGTGAAATGAGTTTCCCATCTCAAATCTAGAAAGAAAAAATGTAAAACCAATAGCTACAGAAGTATTTGCTGCATTAATCTATCATTCATTTATCCCTTTAACAGATTTTGTTGGCTCACTAATACCAGGTACTAGATTATTAAAAATAGAAAATATATCAAGAAAATTTATAGAAATATCAAAGATCTTCCCATTATGGAACTTCCAAAAGTTTTTCATCACTAAAAACAACATGGCTTTCTAGCAATCCACACTAGTATTTGCTTCATTTACTCAAACTGAGCAAGAAACGATAACTTTGGATTTGAACATGAATGAGAGTAAAGAAATGTAAATGAACTGAACATCTGTTGACTAATCTATGGTAAAATTATTTCTCCAAATATGAACATAATGGTGCCACAAAGTCATTTCACCCAAGCAGGCCCACTGTTTCCTAAAATTTTACTTTGTTTTTCTTTGGCTACAAGATTTCACCTGCATCAGACATATTCAGACAGATTTGTTTTCGATGAATAGATATTTGCATCTGGTAGGATTTTTGTTTTTCTCATTAAACAAAAAATTTTGTGAAACTAGTTGGAAATCTACACACCTAAACAAGTAATCTTGGGTATCTGTCTCTCAATTTACTAATTTATCACTTTTTGCTATATACTTTAAATTAATAAATTAAATTACTTACCTAGGTAGTTAGTTCCCCAACTATAATCAATTATCTTAATGGTAACAAATGGCTAAAATATTAGCAAAATAGATCAGTGAAAATATGACATTTTGGGGATAGAGAAAACAAACAAACCTGAAAAACCTTTTCATGGTGATATATGATAAAATGCATTTTACATCCGGAATCAGAGACCTGGTTTCAAGTCTGAGTTCTACCTCTCTACAGCTGTGGAATTCACGGACAAGTTACCTAATTTTTCCAGGCCTCAGTTTTCCTATTAGGCATCCTTCAGAGGGATGTTGTAAAAGGAAATACAATTGTATATAACATGGAATTGAAAATGTGAAACCATACACCAACTGTACCTAGTTAGAAGTATAACCACGCTTTGCACCCAGCCATTAGGGATTCACCAGCATGGAGCATCAAGTAAGATAGATTGCTTACTACCACACTGAGCAATGGCTTTCCAGTTTTACTTTCCACTTTCTGGAAGGCATTAACATTTTAATTTTAGCAGTGCTAGAGGGAACAGGAATAGGTAAAAGGACAAACTACAGTGAAAAAGAATTTATTGAAGTAAAATGACTGCTTGTTACAAGTCAAGGGGTTACTCTAGATTGAAAGAGCTAAGGCAACCAAAGCTAATATTTATGGTAAACGTCCCTATACATATCTGTGCTAAATTAGGAACCACCAGTAACAAAAGAACTAGTTGTATCAATATAATAAAACCCTAATATGCAAATCGATCAAATGGCAGAATGACTGGTCGCTATGATGTGCACTGACCACCAGGGGACAGACGTTCAATGCAGGAGCTGCCCCCGGTGGTCAGTGCGCTCCCACAGGGGGAGCGCCACTCAGCCAGAAGCCAGGCTCACAGCTGGTAAGCACAACGGCAGTGGAAAGAGCCTCTCCTGCTTCTGTTGCAGGCGGGCGGTAAGAAGCAAGGGGTCCCAGACTGCGAGAGCCTCGATTGCGAGAATGATGTCCACCTGGTGGGATTGGGCCTAAGCCAGCAGGTGGACATCCCCCAAGGGGTCCCAGACTGCGAGAGGGTGCAGGCTGGGCTGAGGGACTCCCCTTCCAGTGCACAAATTTTGTGCACCGGGCCTCCCCACAGACTACAAAATATTACAAATATGAATATAAAAGAGTAGCCTCCCAAAAAACAGTAAGGGTGAAGAGGCAACAACAGGACAATGGCTGTCACTGTGCTCACTTTAAGTGAAGAAAAATTTGGTTATCTCACTCTGAAAAAACAGGAAATATAAGAATAGATCTGTCAGAATGATGAGACAAAAGAGAAACAAGAAAGAAGCTTGAGTATATGAGTAACATTTGCAAAGTATATTCACATAACTGAGACGACTACTGGAAATTATAATAAGTTAGTGGAAATCTGGACAAAGGGTTAGGTTTTATAACTTAGTGATGCTATTAATGACTCTATTATACAACTATTAAAATATTTTAAAGCATTTCTATTATAAAATACAATGGTATCTGATATGTAGAATTATATATTCAGAACAAATGAGAAAAATCATCCCACCATAATTTCTTTAATGTATATAAAACTTTAAAACTTACTGGATTCCACTGTCATCTGAAGCAAACTATCAATGACATTGGATAAGAGCCCTTTACTGGATATTCTTAGGTGATTTAATATTACTGGAACAGCTTGATACTCCAAAAATAAGATTTTTCCTTCATCTGTCTTCAAGTCCAAACAAAGAGAATCAAATGCCTGAGCCAGGTAGTCAGCTGAAAAACAATATGCAAAATCCACTTCCATATTAATAGTCCAGCTGGTAACTAGAAACAGGTTACAAAGGGAATATCATAACTTTAACAAATTCAAAAGTGAAACAATTTAAATGACCAGAGATTACAGGCTAAATTTAGATATTCCATGCCTAACTAATTTGTTAGGACTCAAGTGGGAAAAGAGAAAAGGAACTACATTATGATATAGTAAATTTTATTCAAAATTTCCATATTTTAACATTGAAATAATAATAAACCCCATTTCTATGTTATATCAAGAAAACAAATGTTTAATAGTAAATATCACAATTAGTGTTTATTTTTCATATTTGATTATAACAATCACTTCCATAAATTTAAACAGTATTAGTATTTCTTTTACAACAGCTTCTAAGATTATACTTTTTGTTGTTGCTGCTTTCTAAATGTTTACCTATTTCAAGATATCACTTTATACAAACTTGCTGAATGAGTTTTAAACTAGGATTTCTGTCTCCTAATAAAGATAAAACATTAGCATTTAAAAATCAACTTCAGAAGATTGGATTTGCTGTCTCCTAATAAAGATAAAACATTAGCATTTAAAAATCAACTTCAGAAGATTGGATTTGCGCTAGTGTGTTACTTTTTGTTATACATCTGATTATGAACACAGCAAGATTTCATCATGGCCAATGCTATGATGGCACCTGCCAGATCTGAAGCCTGGAACTTTCTTATAGATGTTCCATAGATAATTGGGAAGCTTGTAAAGCCAGGATTAAGAAGTATAAATTTAACCAGAATCAATACAAATGAACTATTAAGATACTAATATAATTATACTTCAATACACCAAACAACCCAAGATACTATTCTTCAATGATTTTACATTGTGCTTTTTTTTTTTATTAAATTTTATTATTTATTACAAAGGATATTACATATGTGTCCATTTTTCCCCCCGCCCAAGACAGTCCCCTAGCCTCCCCCATCCCCCAGTGTCTTATGTCCATTGGTTATGCTTATATGCATGCATACAAGTCCTTTGGTTGATCTCTTACCCCCCTTACATTGTGCTTTTAATAGCACAAGAATATCTTAGTTGCCTGGCTGGTGTAGCTCAGCAGTTGAGCATCGATCCAGGAACCAAGAGGTCACACGTTCAATTCCTGGTCAGGGCACCTGCG